GTGAGGACCCACGCACTGAAGTAGGACCGACACAGGGCAGGGGCGGGTGTGAGGAGTTGATGAGTTCAGTTTGGCACTTGCTGACTCGAAGACCCTGTGAGAGACACCAGTGAGGAGTCCGCTAGCCATTTAAGTACAAGTAGGATCTGGGGCTCAGGCAGGAGGCCGAGGCTGTGGAGTCAGATTTGGGAGCTGGAAGTCGTAAGCCTATCGATATAATTTGAAGTGATGGGGTGAAGGAGATCACCCAGAAGATTACAAGGCACGAGAAGAGAACTGAGAGCAGGAAAAGGACCTGCAAAGTGCCTGAGGAGGACCCAGAGAGTCAGGAATCAATCGAAACAGCAGAGACAGGGGTTAGGAAAGAAATTCCAAGAACAAAGTCACTCACGATCCATCAGAGGCCAGGCATGATGGAACTGCATGCACCACCAAATTTGACAGCAAAAGGTTATTGGTGACATTTTTGAGCACCAGGGAGAACAGGATCTGTGCCTTTGGCTTAATGGAAAAAACCTGGACTTTGAAGTTATACACAAATCTGAGTTCAAATCCCATTTCCACCCCTTCTTAGCTGTGAGACCTTCAATAAACGGGCAGACATTTTTAAACTTTAGTTTCTTCATCTGAAAATTGTGAGTAATAACTACCTCCTGAGGATCTTAAGAGGATTAAAACAAATGTATATTTTGTATACGTATATTAAATGGTTTGTGGCTAGCTCTTAATAAACATTCAAAAATGTCAGTTTCTTCTCCCTGATGTCATTTCTTCTCTCCTCCCTTCACCAGAAAAGACATATAATGTCTCCCCTCTTACCGTGGTGGTCAAGAAGCATCTAAGCTACAGAATTTATCCCAGCAACTGACTCTTGAAATTGGCGTATTTATCTCCTTTTCCCACTATTCTCCTCTATTTAATTCTTTTAAAAATGGTATTTAATGGGTTTTTTTTTGCAATCCTCATCAATTATTACTTTGAAGAAAAGTAGAAATAAAAATAAATAAATAATATGTGGCTAGAGATGCTTGGCTAGCATGACTGCTGCCCTGTATCTCACCTCCCTTCTCAAAACCTCAGCAACATAACACTAAAGAAGTATAAATAGGCATGAAGTCAGAAAAGTTCAGAGAAGGAGGCGACAGCAAATGAAAGAATTCAACTGGCCGGGCGCGGTGGCTCACGACTGTAATCCCAGCTCTCTGGGAGGCCGAGGCGGGCGGATCGTTTGAGCTCAGGAGTTCGAGACCAGCCTGAGCAAGAGCGAGACCCCATCTCTACTAAAATTAGAAAGAAATTAATTGGATAACTAAAAATACATTGAAAAAATTAGCCAGGCATGGTGGCGCATGCCTGTAGTCCTAACTACTCGGGAGGCTGAGGCGGGAGGATTGCTTGAGCCCAGGAGTTTGAGGTTGCTGTGAGCTAGGCTGATGCCACGGCACTCTAGTCCGGGCACCGCGGTGGGCTTTTTTTTCAAAAAAAAAAAAAAAAAAAAGAATTCAACAAATATTTGGAAGGCTGAAGGCAGGTGGGGGGATGTCAACTGGCTTGAAGCAGAGGAAATTGCCAACTAAGTGCCAAGGAGAGATCACCAACAAGAAGTCAGTCATTTAAATCAGCCAGTTTAACCTCTGAGAGGCTTAATACTTGGAAGCGCAAGTTACCAGAGAAGGTCAGAAATGAGATATGGAACTGGCTGACATCTGTGTACAGAGCACTTGACCCTCACTCCAGAGTTCCTCTCTCAACAGGCAAGCAAGCACTCTAAACTCTCCTGCTGCATGAAGAGGAAGGAAACTGGACTCTGGAGGCCTCCATACTAAGGGACCTCAGGGATCGTTTGAAGATCGGACATAGGGTGGAAAACTCAATGACTGGCTGGGCACGGTGGCTCACGCCTGTAATCCTAGCACTCTGGGAGGCCAAGGCGGGTGGATCGCTCCAGGTCAGGAGTTCGAGACCAGCCTGAGCAAGAGCGAGACCTCGTCTCTACTAAAAATAGAAAGAAATTGGCTGGACAACTAAAAATATATATATAGAAAAAATTAGCCGGGCATGGTGGCTCATGCCTGTAGTCCCAGCTACTCGGGAGGCTAAGGCAGGAGGATGGCTTCAGCCCAGGACTTTGAGGTTGCTGTGAGCTAGGCTGACGCCACGGCACTCTACTCCGGCAACAGAGCGAGACTCTGTCTCAAAAATGGGCATCCAACCAAGAAGCATGGCAAAAGGGGATCCTGGGACATCTGTGTACCAGGCTTAGTGAGCAACCTGTCCCAGCTAAAGTGGAAAGACAGATGTGTGGGACAGAGATTTCTAGGGAAAAGATGGAACTGATCAGTTATGGGTTGAACATTTGGAAAAATTGTTGCTACATGTTTGTAACACTTGGAAAAAATAGCTAGGTACTTCAAGCTAAACAACTGAAAAGAGAAATGACAATTATTAACTCCCAAGTAAAACCAATTGTAAGAAAAGGAAATATAATAGTAATATACTACCTGAGTGAAGAGTTTATTTATTTGGTCAATAATGTAAACACTATTGATTTAACTGTAAATTGTGGGAAACTATATTGCAAGCATAGGGGAGAAAAAGTGGGGGTTAGAGTGGTGCAAGAGAACTAATTCCTCAACTGCCAGAGTGATAAATTCATAAATATTGTCTAATATTGATAAATCAAGTAATAGTATATTATTAATATTTTGCTAGGGCTGCCATAACAAAGTACCACAGACTGGATGGCTAAGCAACAGAAATGCATTACCCCACAATTCTGTAGGCTGGAAGGCTGAGATCAAGGTGTCTCAGGGTCGGTTTCTTCTGAGGCCCCTCTCCTTGGCTCGTAGATGGTCAAGTTTTTCCTGTGTCTTCACATGGTCTTCCCTCTGTGTGTGTCTGTGTCCTAATTTCTTCTTATAAGGACACCAGCCATACTGGATAAGGGCCCACCCTAATGAACTCATCGTACCTAAATTTCCTCTTTAAAGAAAATAAGGTAAGGAAATAATCTCCAAATACAGTCACCTTCTGAGATACGGGTTAGGACTTCAACATATGAAATTGGTTGGAGACACGATTCGGCCCATAACAAGTAGTATAAGCTCATTATTTGGAAATGTGGAGGTAAACATCAGAAGAAATAGCCAGAAGAGTTGAAAGTGGCTGCCTCTGTGAAGAGAGACTGGAAGGTGGCAAGGGATGAGGCAGGAACAATTATTATTTGATATTTTACAAAATTGCAAATGGCAGACTGAGCCTTGAACCCAGTCTGAGTCCAAATCTCATGTTCTTCCACTTTTCCACAAGACGGGGAGCCCCTCAAGGTCCCTGCAGTGCCGTATTCATCTCTGCATCTCCCACAGTACCTTATACAGAGCCACATGACGGGACTTCACTACATATTTACGATTTGGAGCTGCATCGCTGTGACCTTTAAAGCTGCCATGTGTTGGTTTTTGTTTTCCAGTTTCAAAAGGAGAAGATAGGGGAAGACAGAGAGACCAAGGAAACCTCGAGGGGCAGGACATGGAGTGTCCTGCTTAGAGTTTGCTACCCTTGGTGTCCTGGAATTGCTGGGTGCATCCCTCATAGCACTTTGAGTTTTGATACTAGAAAGGTCCATCCAAGGCAGGGCAGGGCACAGGGTGCTTTACTGCCTGATAAAGCTAGTGGTGGTGTCTCCACCCCTCCTCCCTGGGGTCTGCAACAACCACTCACCCCCATTTTCTTGAGGCCAGTTTGGCTGTCGAAGGTGGCCACAGGCTCTGAAAGTTATTCTCAGACCTATGACTATAATGGCATTCACAGTGATTGATGGATGATCCCATGAGGGGTTTTGGTCATTTTTGTGTTTAGGCTGGTCCACAGTTATTTACCTGGTTCTTAAGGCTGGCTGGATTCCGTGACTGCGTCTGTTGCTGAGGCTACGTGGACGCCCTTCCAGGGAGCACATACCCAGTGTCCTCTGGGGAGCAGTGGAGGTTGGTGTGTATGTGTGTCTGTCTCAGCATGCCTCAGATTATTGCTTCCTAATAAAATTCTGATAGCTGGGCCCCATCAATATCTCAAATACATGTGAGGAAACGTTAATTTAGAATCAATTTTAGGATGTTTCAGACTGTAAAGTCCTTTTAACTAGATCTCTGGCGAAGATGTAGAAGCACTTTATGGGACTGTAAATTTCATGTTGAACAGTCCTGGTGAAATACACATCTCCCCTACACACAAGCTGTTCTCCCCATATCAATCATGGCCCCTGCAAGTAATGTTTCACAAATATTCTGTAAATCACAGAAAACCCTATGATAATGTGAAATATGACTTTCACTTGTCTGTTAGACAAAAGAATCGCACATGCCTCTCTCCCATCAGCACTAACATTTGTTATGGATAATAACACTTTCAATCACAACTATTTTTGGAAAACGGGTTTATTTTAAACCTTCCCTCCCCCACTGAAAACATTCTCCCAAGGACACAGACTCCTACAAACCACAGCCCATTAATCCAACTATGGAATGGGAACTTTTTCTTCCCACTAACTTTTTTTTTTGAGTTGTTTTTAAGAGTTGGTATAAAAGTCCAAGGTACAAGGTTAAGTAGCGCTTTACGTTAACTGATCAGCATAAGAGGGGGGCTAGGTCTCTCAAGACCCCAAATCTCTGATTCTGTGTGACATAAGCCGTGAGAGAGGCCCAAATTTTTAGCAAGTATCTTCATCTCAGCTGGATCCTGTGGTCTTTTAGTTGCTGGCATCAGCAGAGAAACCAAAGAACTAAAATTTCAGCTCTTAAGGAGTAGGCGTTTAGTACCTTGATGTTCTTAATTCCATTACACCTCATGTAACTACACCCATGGGCGCGATAGAGGCTCACCCTGCCTCCAGTTTGTTGCTAGAAAAGCAAAACCCACAAAGTAATGGGTTTGCATGATTCTAAACATTCTGGTAACCTGTCTGTTTTCCCTCCCTCTGTAGCCAACTGCAGGACAGATTGATCATGACTTCTATAAAAGAGCAGGCAGCGATTAGCAGGCTCTTAAGTTTTTTACAGGAATGGGACAATGCTGGCAAAGTGGCGAGGAATCACATCCTCAACTGCTTCATCGAAAACAACCAAGGCAAAACTGCCCCTGAGTTGGAGCAGGAGTTTTCCCAGGGAGCGAGCTTGTTCCTGGTACGCTTGACCACCTCGCTTAGAATCACGTATCCTTTGCTGAACAGAAAAAAATTAAGCAACCTTAAAAAGAGAAAGAGAGAGAAGATTGTCGAAGGAGTTTTCTCTTGATTCTCTTTAATATTTTAGAACAGAATATTTGGTGATAAAAATTTCATCCCCAAAGTCAAGAACTCCCTCCACTTCCTGTCTTCCCACCCTACAATTGTATCCTCATTCTCACCCCTAAGCTCTTTTGCTCCCATCAGAGTTGAAGCAGGTATTCCTTCCGTCCAGGGCTGATCCTCTCTTTGTACTACACTTGAATACCCTCCCATCTCCCTATGCTTTCTCTCCTATAGCTTTCACTGTTTCCTCTCATTGTCAGCTCTTTTAATCAGCATTTATATATGCCAAAATCTCTTCTACCTTAAAAAATAAAATTAAACCCCTATCTCAAACCTGTATTCCACCCAGCTTCTGCTCTTCATGGTGCTGCATTTTTTTTTTTTTTTTTAAAGAAGAGAGTCTCTCTCTATTGCCCAGGCTGGTCTTGAACTCCTGAGCTAAAGCAATCCTCCCACCTCGGCCTCCCAAAGTGCTACGATTACAAGCGTGAGCCACCGTGCCCAGCCTATGAAGCTTCTTGAAAAGGTTGTTGATGCTCCCTGTCTCCTCTCACTACAGTCTGACTTCTGTTCTTCCCACTCCACTGAGGCAGGTATTGCTAAGGTTACCAATGTTTTTCTAGTTGTAAAGCCCAGTGACCTCAGTCTTATATGTGACCTCTCAGTGGCATTTGGCACCCAACCTTTCCTACTTCTCAAAACACTCTTCCCTTGGTTTTTGTGATACCAGTTTTCTCCTTTCTGTCCGGTTTTCTCCTTTCTGTCTGTGCATTCCTTCTCTTCTTCAGCCATCCCTTAAATGTCGATGTTCCTTGGGATTCCATCCACTTCCCTCTCCTCTGCTCATTCTCAGATTCTCCCTGAGTGACTAATCATTGGCATCATGTCAACACCACTCCAGTTTGAGGACTCTCAAATGTGTATCCCTACCCAAATTTCTCTCTGTAGTCTGAGTTCCACACCTACATATCCAACTACTATCTCTACTCCTACGCCACAGGGTGAGTCTCACAAGTCTGGCTTAGTAAACTAGGGGAATGGGTGCCATTATGCAGGAAGAGAAGATAAGAAGAGGAGCAAGTTTGGTTTGGGACTTGTTGAATTTGAGGTTCCCGGGCTCAGGATCCCTGGAGGCAGATTAGGGCTGAAGACAGACTTGGTCACCATCAAGGTGATGGTTCAAGTCATAGGTGGATTTGAGGATATTCCTGCTCTGTGTGCCCATAGCACTCTATGGCTTCATCTCAGACCCTCTTATTGTATATTTTTCTCCTTGCCTGAGCCCTCCCCACTTCTCTAAACCCCCTCCTTGTTTGATTAACTCCTACTCTATTATTCAGGTCTCAATTTATACATCACTTTCTCAGGAAGCCCATTTCTGAGCCCCAGACTACCTTAGGTCCCCCTGTTATATCTACTCATAGCACTTCCTCTATCTTCATAGTCGTAACATTTCACTGTTATTACCTGCTTAATATCTCTCTTTCCCCCCATTGGATTGTAGGATCTATGAGGGCAAGAAATGCATCTGTTCTACTTATCTCTGTATTTCTAACACCTAGCACAACGCCTGGCACATGTTTGCTGAATAAAGGAATCAATGAACCTGAGAGTCTGCCTCTGGACAGAACTAAAGGTTTTTAAGTAAACACAGCTCTCTTTTTCTTACATTTAAGTCATTGATAAAATTATTATTCAGACTGAGGCCTGTAACACAGGCCATAGGAAAATACATGTCTAGGTTGAGGTTGAACCTTATGTTCTCAGATATTGTGATACATAAAGGAGGTTCAGAATGCAAATTACCAGCCTACTCCCCACCCCACCCCCAGGGTTCTGATTTAGTAGACTGAGGGTGGGGCCCTGGATTCTTTATTTCTAACAAGCACCCAGGTGACTTTGGTGTCAGTGATCCACAGGTCATGCTTGGGAAACACCGCTGCCTATAATCTGGCTCTTGTCCCTACAACTCTTGACACTAATTTGACCAAGCATATGAGCAGCCTCTTTGTTTTCCTTCCTTGTCTCCCTTGACAACATATTCCACTCAACCACAGGGTGAGGTGAATGAGGCAGAGGCAGACAGGTACAGGGTAAGATCCTGTCTTTATCTAAAATTTTGATATTTTATTCATCATGGATTTTTATATTAATTTGATTTTTTAAAATATTACATTGAAATATTATTTGATCACTGAGTTTTTTGGTGCCCCTTAAAATTCAGACCCAAAGCAAGTGCCTCCCTCACCACATCCTGGTGTCCCTGCCCTGCTTTTCCACTGTCCCTTCTGAAGCTGTCCTCGCTTCTACCTTCTTCCACTGCTGTTTCTCAGTCACTATTACAGGATCTTTCCTAGCGACCCCATAGTGTGAGTGTTTCCAAGGATGCTGTGTTCAGCTCATTTCTCTTCTTACTTGATCATTACACTTACTGCATTAGGCATTATCTCATTCTTCTCCATATCTCAAGTGCCAAACAGAGTGCCTAACATTTAGTGAGCACTCAGTTAGTGCTTACTGAATGACTGAATGAACCATGCATTTAATACACTGTCATAGATTTTTGTTTCTATGCGTAGAATTACACATAATTTCCTAACTTTTTGTGACCTTGTCATACAACAGAGAAAATAGACTGGCTAAAGTATTTTAAGCTGGGCGCGGTGGCTCATGTCTGTAATCCTAGCACTCTGGGAGGCGGGTGGATCTTTGGAGCTCAGAAGTTCGAGACCAGCCTGAGCAAGAGCGAGACCCCCGTCTCTACTAAAAAAATAGAAAGAAATTAGCTGTACAACTTAAAATATATATAGAAAAAATTAGCCAGGCGTGGTGGCACATGTCTGTAGTCCCAGCTACTGGGGAGGCTGAGGCAGAAGGATTGCTTGAGCCCAGGAGTTTGAGGTTGCTGTGAGCTAGGCTGATGCCTAGTTCTGCCTGCTACACTCTAGCCTGGGCAACAGAGTGAGGATCTGTCTCAAAAAAAAAGAAAAAAAAATAGACTGGCTAAAGTATTTTGAATTAGTGATCCCTTTTCTCCGCAGGCTTCCTGTTATGGTGAGTTCTGGAGCAAAAAAAATCAATTTTCTTTTGCAAAACTGACTACCACACCACAATCCCATATAAACTCTTTTTCAACCTTGAACTTCCAGAATAGATCAGTAAAACTAAGGATTTATATATTAATATTATAACGACAAAATTATTAGTCACCATTTATTGAGTCTTTTTGTATTCTAGGCACTGAACTATGTTCTGTACAAATATTATTTCATTTGAGCCTAACACCCAGCCTAATAGGTGAGTGGTATTATCCCATTTTATAGATAAGAAAGATGAGCCTTGAAAAGGTTGAGTAATTTACTAGTAAATGGCAGCGAGAAGGTTTGAACCTGGTGTATGTGGCCCCAAGCCTGTAGGCCATCCATTCAACGTCTCCTGCTCCACATGCAGTGCAGACCACAACTCCACCTGCAACACCACACGGGAGTTTATCTGCATTCGTAGCCCCAGCCCCTCCATTTGTTTACAGGCCAGAAGGCCTGACAGTAAGAGCTCAGACGCTGAGTCAGACTGCCTAGGTTCAAATCCTGGTTCCGTCAGTTCATTCTGGGACCTTAGACAGGTCATTAAACTGTCTGAAATTGTTACCTCATGTTACTCATGTGGTAAATGGAAATTCTAATAATACCTACGTCGTGAGGATTATATGAGACAATGCAAGGAAAGCAGTTAGCACAATGCCTGGCACACAACAAATGCTGGTACTTGTTAGCTACTACTGATATTGTGGCAACCTTCTGGAACTAACTGCTGATAATAATAGAGCAGGAATATAGTGGGTGATTATGAAAACAAGATTAGCCTGGGACGGAAGAAAAAGAAGGTGACAAAAGTTGGTCAGCTTGGCTGGGAACTGATGAAAAGGAGGAGAATGTACTGAGGCAGGAATGGAGTTGGGGGTCGCGGGAGCAGAGTAGGGACAACGTAGCAATAAAGACATAACCATGTGTGCTGAAGCCTGGCCCTGGCTATGGCGGCAACAGACAGGGAAGCCTGGCTCCAGAACAAACACTATTTTTGCAGTAAAGAGCCTTTCCTAATGAGCCAATCTGTCTCTACTTCTATTGGCATCCTGGGAACCAGGGTGCAGCAGAGATAATTTGCTTCACACCAGCCCCCCCAAACAAAGCACCATTACCTCCAACCCATTACATTAGCCTTGATCAGTCTTGGAAGCTCTCAGTCATCCTCCATGAGCTGCAATAATTTCAGCTAATTTCTTAAGTGTTCTAAGAGCCTGTGATGTGTTATGAGCCTAGTAATTGTTGACTGGTTCCTTTTCTGTTGTGGCTTGATTTCATACCTTGTATCCGAGCTGATGCGTGCTCTGGGTGCTTTATTACAATGAAGCTTTTTGCAAAGGCTCACATTAAAAAAATAACATTAAATAATGAGGTTGTTTTAAATCAGAGTTTAATTTTTCCACCATCTCCTGTTATTCTTATTAGGAAGCCAATTCTTCGTAAGGATAGTGACCTCCAGTGTAAAACTTTGAGCAAGTACAAAATTGAGAATTAACAACAAAGCTGATTCTTTTTAGAGAAGTCTACGAATGAGGCACAAAGTAATGAACTGTACTGAAACCAAGGGTGCAATTGGCACAGTTTAGGGAGGTTTAGGAAATTGACCCCTAGCTTTCCCCATGGACCTTTGAGTCATCAGAGCCTCCTTGCTCCTTAGGGAGCTTGTCAGAGCCAAGGTGGCTGAACTACCCCTGAGGAGCTTCCTGGAGAACAGTGAGCAATCCAGCACCCCGTTTCTCCCCACCGCACTGTGAATATTGCCACTTCCCTTCAGCTAGTGGTCCCTCTCAGAGTAAAGGGTACAATTCAGCTGCTTGGTCATCCTGGACCCTGGGTGGTACCAGGGATCAGACATAGGATCTGGCTTCTTTTGTGAAAAACCACCCTGAAGCTCGCTCTTTTTTTTTTTTTTTTTTTTTTGAGACAGAGTCTCACTCTTTTGTCCGGGCTAGAGTGAGTGCCATGGCATCAGCCTAGCTCACAGCAACCTCAAAATCCTGGGCTCAAGCAATCCTACTGCCTCAGCCTCCCGAGTAGCTGGGACTACAGGCATGTGCCACCATGCCCGGCTAATTTTTTCTATATAGTTTTAGTTGTCCAATTAATTTCTTCCTATTTTTAGTAGAGACGGGGTCTCGCTCTTGCTCAGGCTGGTTTCGAACTCTTGAGCTCAAACAATCCGCCCACCTCGGCCTCCCAGAGTGCTAGGATTACAGGCGTGAGCCACCGCGCCCGGCCTGAAGCTCACTCTTTAACTTGTCACACAGCTATATGACTGGCTCATGTTTAGAAAAGCTTCTAAGGTCCATTGGCATCTTCTTATCGGCTGTAAGCAGGTGAGTTCTGTTCTAGAGAGATTCTGAGGTCTCGGTGGCATCTCAGGCATTCCTACCACATGGGGTGATGTATCTAGTTATCAGGGGGTGCCCAGTAGCCCTCAGGATGGGCCCAGAAGTAGTGTCCGCCATGGTCCTGCTATAGTGGCTTCTCCATCCCATGTTCCCCATAGGTACTTTACTAGTCAGGACCCTCTCCATTGTGATTGCAGAAAACCAACTTATATGGGGCTCAGGAAAAGGAAATTTATTGGCTCACTTAACTGAAACAGGATGGAATACATATTTCAGGCCTGATTAGATCCAGGGGCTCAAACAATGTCATCAGTACTTAGTCTCTCTCTCTCTCTCTCTTCTCCTTCATTTTTCAGTTTGTCCTCCTCTGTGTTCATGACCTCTGTGTACTGCGGCCCTCAGGAGCTCCAGACACTCATCCTTATAGCTCAGCCACACCAGAAAGAGAATATATCTTTTCCATGGCTTCCCAAGAAAGCCCCAGTTTTCAGCCTCACTGGACCAATTTAGGTCACATGCCCAGCCCCAAACCAATGTCTACAGTCATAAGGATGACATACCCTGTCACCAAGTCAACTCACCCATGAGTTTTTCATGGCCCATGAGTAGCAGTGGGGTGACTCCCTGAGCAGCAATTAAGGAGCCATTAGAAGAAAGGGGAACAGACGTTGGAAAGCCAAAAACAAGAAATTTCCATTATATTTAATTCTAGTATTTCCTGCTGGAAGGAAGAATTTCCAATCCTTGTGTCACTTTACCTATGGACATTTCCTTGATAGGAGGGAAAAGTATGTGAAGTGAGGACCTTGGGATCTCTTAGAAAGCTCAGTGCCAAGGAACTTGGCAAATGTTTTATTTCTACTCTTCTATCCCTCTGGACAGTAATCGGTACCTTACAGAATTTCTTGAGGTTGGAGGTGTCCTAACGCTCTTGGAAATACTTGGGCTGGAGAAAATCGAGGAGAAGGACAAGAAAGAGTCCATCAAGCTGCTTCAGGTTGTTGCAAACGCTGGCAGGAAGTACAAGGAGCTCATCTGTGAGAGCTATGGTGGGTACTATGTACGACAAGGGTCTCCCTGGGGCCCTGGGTGAAAGGCCGGCAGCATCCACCACTGCTCTAGGAAAAAACCATCATAGAACTGGTTGTACAGGAAGCATTTTGTGCTCCTGTTTATGTAGCCACTAAAAGACCTAGATTTATGATTTCCCTGATTCATCATTTGCTCGAATTTCTCATTGGTGGTTTTAGACATACTTTTCCTGTTTAAATATATCCTCTTCCGTGCATCCATTCAACAAAGATTTACTGAGCTGTTGCCCCAAATCCTTTGTGAAATTGAGTTATGAATAACTCTAGAAATAAAATTGAAATGAAATTACTGAATACCTACTGTGCACTAGATATATGCTAAGGTGCTAGGGATACAAAGATGAATGAAATATAGTCCCTGCCCTCAAAGAGCTTACAGTCTGGTGAGGAAAGTATATAATCCGGTCATTTCAATGTAATCTATCAAGTGCTGTGATTAAGGCATGGAAGAGAGATGCCATCTCCCATGCCTCCCTTTTTCAAAGCATTTCCCTCCTGCACTTTCATCATAGTTCTCCTCTCTGTCTCCCCTATGGCCTCTCTGAGCCTCAGTGTCTTCATCCATAAAATGGGACTAATGCCTCCCTCTCAGTATGGTGTCAAGAATTAAATGAGTTAGTATTTGTGAAAACATTTTGTAAACTGTTGAACACTAAACAGCATTTATCATATAGCATTAAAAAATGGATGTTTTGGCTGGGCACGGTGGCTCACGCCTGTAATCCTAGCACTCTGGGAGGCCGAGGCGGGTGGATCGCTCGAGGTCAGGAGTTTGAGACCAGCCTGAGCAAGAGTGAGACCCCGTCTCTACTATAAATAGAAAGAAATTAGCCAAACAACTAAAAATAGAAAGAAGTTAGCCAGGCGTGGTGGCACGTGCCTGTAGTCCCAGCTACTCGGGAGGCTGAGGCAGAAGGATTGCTTGAGCCCAGAAGTTTGAGGTTGCTGTGAGCTAGGCTGATGCCACGGCACTCTAGCCCAGGTAACAGAGTGAGACTCTGTCTCAAAAAAAAAAAAAAAAAAAAAATGCCTGTTTTATTTGTACATTGGGGAGAGCCATTTTAAATTTTTAAAACACAGATTTTGACATGCCTATGCTGAAACAAAATCCTCCAGCCACATAGAAATAAGGTAAACAAGACAGTGAGAACATGAGAACCGAGCCTCAATTTTGCTTTGGCTGAACAGGTTTGGTTGAAGAGATCTTAATCCTATTTATATCATGTAATCTTGAGTGAGGATTGTTTTTATAAATCCCATCCAATTTAGCACTTCCTCTCTTCTTTGCTCAGGCATACGATCCATAGCAGAATTTTTGGCAAAGTCTAAATCAGAAGAGACCCAGGAGGAAGTGCAGGTTCTGTTGGATTCTTTGGTCCATGGTAATCCCAAGTACCAGAATCAAGTGTATAAAGGTCTAATAGCTTTGCTGCCCTGTGCGTCGCCCAAAGCTCAGCAGCTGGCCCTGCAGACTCTCAAGACTGCCCAGGTGAGCCGAGGCTGCATGCTCCTGTGGTTCTGATTCAAATGCAGCAATCTTACAATTACCTTCCGCAGTTGCTCTCCACACAGGCATGAGAAACGGAGCTCAGCCTCCCACCGCATGTCTGTTGTTCAATCAGTGTTACTTCCAGAAGGCCAAGGCAGGGCAAAGAGTTCATGTCTCCCAGCAGAGTGATTTGTCCTGTTTACTTACGGATCAGAAGGATGTTGGCAGACTTAAAAGTGGTTGAGACAAGCAACAAGGATGATGAAAGGACCATAGAAAAGATTAAAGGAGTGAATTTGATAGGGAAAGAATCACGGTGCATTTGTAGACAGCATGTAAGTGAAGAGGCCAGGTCTCCAGTGCTTTTGGAAAGCTCCTTTTTTGTTGTTGTTGTTGTTGGCTTGTGCCCTTCTCTCAGACAATGCCCTAGAATGTGAGTAAAATCACATTTGGGGCATGGTGATCATATGAAGACACTGTGCCTAGTAAGGAGGGGACAGAGGCTCAAAAAGTGTTCTTAAGATGAACCATCAAAAGCTCCCAGAACTGCTCCAGAGAATGGGCTAGAGGCAGGGAGAAAATTAAGAGATCAAAGAGATGATAAGGCCTGAGGGAGAAGGCATGAGACTTAGGGGAGTAAAAGAAACATACTAAAAGATGACACACAGGGTGAGTTGTGCATCACCAAGAGAGAACAGGAACAAAGAAGAGAAATCAGTTTGATTTGGGAGGAGTTAGGTTTTGACCCAATAAACTTGATGGGCCTTGGTGGTTCCCAAGTGCCTATCTGAGCAGCAGGCCAAGCTGGTTGCAGAAGATGTAACTGGGTCACTTGTTTAAAGAACACTGAATCCCAAGCCTGTAGAATCTGACACCAAGCCGTGGTGTCTCCCTCCTGTAGAATCTGAAAGCTCTCGGGTTGGCCCTCGGTAGTACTTTTCGTTTTTAAGCTCCCCAAGTGACTCTGATTCCTTGCTTGATTGAGGAATCACTGCTCAGGACAGCCAAGAGAGATGCCATTGGGCAGTAGAAAATAAAAGTGTGAAGCTCCAGAGAGAGGCCTGAAGAGATCAGTTTGGATTTCATGAGCAGAGAAGTGATAACTGAAATAGAAGAAAATAAGGTCACCGAGTAAGATATGCCGAGTCAGAAGAGAAGGAACCCCTCCAACACTGAAGAGGCGAGCTGAGGAAGGGCAAAACAGATCAGATTGTCATCACCGTTTCCACAGTTTCCATTAAAGTGCCTCCTGCATGCCAGCCGCTTATTTACAGTCTCTTTTAGTCTTCACTACAGCGATGGAGGCAGATATTATTATTCCTGTTTTAGAGATGATGGAACTGAGCCTCAGGGAGGTGTGTTAAATGACTTATCCAAGGCCACACACTAGGTAAAAGGTATTTACTAAGTGGGGATTTAAATCCAGCTCTCTCCAAAGTCCTTATTCTTTCCACAGACTCTGCCTCTTTGAAAAGGAGCAATAAAAGCGACAGAAAGCAAAATGGAAAAAAATGGGGCTGGGAAGATCAAGGGAAAAGAATTTCAATATGGAAGACTTGATCGGCTGGGTCAGAAACAACAAAGGGATGAAGTAAGAGTAGAATAGAAAGATGGTACCAGCAGGAAAAGTTTTGGTGCATTAGGAGACAGTCTTATGGCAGCAGCCTATGAGAGCATGAACGGGGGTTGAAGAAGTGGCTTCTCTTGGGAAGCTTGGATGTGGAGGGCAAAAAGAGCAATAGCAAAGGAGAGGACAGAGCTGAAGGACAGTTTTGTTAAATACAGATGAGCTTGAGGATGTTTAATGCTAAAGGAAAGACACCGATGCGGGAGGAAGAGGAGATTTTAGGGTCTTGGGTGAGTTCCACTCTCCCTGCCTGGGGTCCTTCCTCCCCCCATCCAAGGTAGCAGATCTCGTTCCTGCACCTCTAGCAGGAGGCCAGCTGGCCTCGACTAATGCCTCCTGAGCTACAGGGTTCAATGGCAGCCACAGCGGATCCTGTCAGATTCTTTGCTGCCCACCTCTGCCCCTCCCCCGCGTTGTGTGGGGCCGAGACCCAGTGACTCGCCACTGCCCTCCCTCCCTGTCCCCCATTCACCCAGACACCAAGCTGGGTGAGCTCTGCATTGGAGCTCTGCATTTCCTTTCTTCCGGGCGGACGAGATCTAAAGAATAACCACCTTGTCCTGTTGTCTGTCTTGTCAGTCGATCATCGGGACCACACACCCCAGCATCGTGGACTGCGTGCTGAAGGTGCTGGGCACGATGCACCTGGAAGTGCAGTATGAAGGTAGGGAGGCTGCTCCAGATGGCAGAGTGTGGCTGTGAGAGCTAGCGGATCAGCTCTCAGAAGCCTTCTCTTACTCACAAAGAACTGTAATTATTGTTGAGTGTTCGGGATGGCCCCAGCAGAACGTAAGGTGCTGGATCAGTAGCCATCAGTGAGCTCACGGTCACGTGAGCTTCGGATCAGCCCACAGTGCTTGAACAGGTATTAGAATCTGCCTGGATTCAGAGCTGGCTCTGGTTCCCCGTCTTACGTGGTGCTTCCCCTCCAAAGAGAAATCACCCTAAGGAACGTCCTTCTTCTAAGAAATGAAATTGGATAATAGTTGTATTAATAAGTTTTCATTTATTGAGTGCACCTATGTGCCAACCACTTTCCATACCTCATTTCATTTAATTCTCAAACTAAGCATGAGAGTACAAAGCCCGATACATATTAGGCATTCAAATGTTCAAATGAATGAATAGTGGAAAGAGGTATTTTTATGTTTTTCAAGATAAAACACTGAAGCACAGAGAGATTAAATATGCTTCCCAAGGTTACACAGCTAATTGGATCCAAACCAGTTGGACTTCTATGTCCGGGATATTAAGATGAACCCCAGGTCCAGGGAGCCTGGGAGGGACATAAGGAGCAGGAAAAGATCAGCAAAGGTCTGGAGGTTCACTTCCAGCTTAGATGATTTTGGAAGCAGTGTTTAAGCTGAACGTCAGTCATGTTATTCCTTCAGCAGCATTGTCAATGTTGTGTTTGTTTGACCCTTGCAGGGCCACGTGCATATGTGGGCCTTGTATGTTGAGAAGTAATGCCATGTTAGAATCTGTTACCAGCTGGAGCATAGTGTCCTTGCCAGGGAAGAGTTGCCAGTGAGGGGGTAGACTGGTAGAAGGACCTAAGTAAGGGTCAGAGCCAGAGGCAGAGAGGGTTGTCACTGGCACTGGAGCAAAAGAGACTAGATTAGGTGGCACTGAGACCTTCCTTTCCTCACCCCACGTCCATGCGGCAAATGTGGCCATTCCTACTCATCCATCACTTCTGAGCTTACGCACTTCTTCTCTAAGGCCTTCCTTGACCCTGCCTTCAACCCCTGCCCATATGTCGGCCTTCCTTCCTTTGAACCACCCTGCCCCACCTCCCCTCCAGGGCTTCCGTTCATTAGAGCCGTTGCCTCCAAAATGGCCTGTATCCTCAGCACAGCCCCTAGCACGTTTGTGGAATGGGTGAATGAGTGAGTGAATGCCGCACATACCTACTGCATTAGCAATTACTTGCCTGTGTGCCTGTCTCATCCGGACCTCTGAGCAACTCCAGGGCAGGGACTGGGTCTGATTCATCTTTTTCCCTCAGGAAACATAATGGGTGCTCAGTAGAAATTTGTCGAATAAATTTATGGAAAAAATAGCTTATGCTGATGAACTCCTCCAGAGTTGGGACTGGCCCCAGCTTCTTCCAACATTGGCCCAATTTAGAACCCCTCTGCTTTTATTCAGTAACAACTAACACTGTGGCAGAGGCAGCAGGAACATGATGCTTTGTCACTGCCTTTTTGGTTTGATGTATACTCATGTGATAACAGTGAAACTGTGCACATCAAAACAATTTCAGATATGCCAGACTCATAACAGGTGCTCGAGAAATGTCTGTTGAATGAATGAACCAGATACTTCAAAATAGTCTTCGGGTTGGGCATGGTGGCTCATACCTATAATCCTAGCACTTTGCAAGGCCGAGGTGGGAGGATCCCTTGAACCCAGGGGTTCGAGACCAGCCTGGGCAACATAGTGAGACTCCGTCTCTACAAAAACTAAAAAAATTAGCCGGGCATGGTGGTGGGTGCCTGTAATCCCAGCTACTCGGGAGGCTGAGGCAAGAGGATCGCTTGAGCCCAGGAGTTTCAGGTTGCAGTGAGCTATGATGATGCCACTGAACTCTAAAAAAAAAAAAAAGTCTTCATGTAACCCGGAATATAGAGAATTCGTATGTAATGACTGTCCACTAAGGGGAACTGTTTCCCATGATCAGGGTAGGCTTGAAGTTAAGCGAGAGAATAAGGCACACATTCAGCTTCCACTGAAACTCCTCCCACGTTAGAGGAGGAAAGTTCTGACAGGTCTGAAATGTGATCTTGACCATGGGTGACTGGAGAGGATCAGAGAATAATTTCTTGGAGTTTGAGTACACAGAATTGCAACACCAAGGTGGAGCCACCCTAGGATGATGGCAACAGGATAGAGAAGAAGCCTGTGACCCAGAGAAGTCTGGACCACAGTGATGAGAAGAGTGAGTGGGTGACATGGACTGACCTGAAAAGGGCAGGGTTTGTTTTCTAAAACAAGTATTTGTTGGATATCTGTGGTGTTCCAAGAACTATGCCTGATACTGGGGTTTTGTTTGTGTGTGTTTGTTTGTTTTGAGGAGAAGAATGAATGATTTGGACGAAGGGTCAGGGCAATGTCCACTCTACCTCCCGTGCTGCATGTGGGGGCTGGGGGGTGGGTGTTGACATCCTTTCCCCCAGGAAGGCTGCAGGGAAAGTGGAATTCCCAGGGAAGAGTCCAATGAGAATGGGAGGCGAGAGGCTTAGCGTGCCTGGTGATCATTTGCTTTGCAGGGGGTGGCAGTGATGGAGGAGCCACCCGCCAGCCTCACCTCCTTTTTCATCAAGATCCCCACATTCCCAACACCATATCTACCAATCTGCCTGACCCATTGGTCATGTTAGTCACATTCTTTGCTCTCCTTCCCATTACAACAGAGTGTCGCTGTTCCTCTCACAAGCCACCTCTTCTACTTATTGTCTGAAGCACATTCCCTCTAAGACTTCACTTCTGCAGTTACTGTCTCCCTTTTTCTCGCTGGTTCATCTCCATGACATGAAATATGGTCTGTATCTCCCATCTTAAAAAAGAGCCCATGCTTGGGAATCTATAGATTAAAAGAAATTTAAAAGACATGTTCCAAAAAAAGGTAAAATTATAGCATTTAGGGATGCACATCCCTCTTTGACCCCAAGTTCCCCTCCAGCTAATCATTTTTCCATTTTCTTCCTGCTTGATCTCTCAGCTGCTTTTGACCCAGTTGACCCCTCCCTCACTTTCTTCTATTAGCTTCTGTGATACCACTTTCTTCAAGTTTCCCTCCTGCCAGCTGATTTTGCCATAGTCGCCTTTGGTACTTTCTCCTATTTCTCTGAGACTGCTGTTGGTCAGCCTACCTCTCATCTCTTTACCTACACTTTCTCCCTAAGTGATTTTGTCTGGGGCCGTAGCTTTAAATACTCTCTCTCTCTCTCTCTCTCTCTCTCTCTCTATATATATATATATATATATATATAAATATATGTATACACACACACACATACACATACCAAATCTGTATATCTGTATCTCTGACCTTGATCTCTCCCTGAAATCTCCACATGGATGTCTAATAGATATCTCAAATTTATGGCCAAAGCAGAGCTCTTGATTTTCTTCCCAAAACCTGTTCTTCCTCCTGTTTTCCCTATCTCAACCACCAACCAAATTGCTCAAGTTAAAAATGTAGGTCTAATACCAGATTACCTTCTTTCTCTTGTCTCCCACCCCATCCCATGCTTACCAAGTCTTCTAGGCTCTGTCTCCACTTACCTTCCCTGTCCCCACTGTGATCCTAGTCTAATCCACTGTCCTGTCCCCTAATGTATCTTTCTGGTTTCATTCTGTCCCTCTGTAACACATTCTCCCACCTCAGCCAGAATGAGCATTTAAAAAATATGAATTAGACAGTATCACTCCTTAACTTCCCATTGTACCTGGGCTGAAATCCACATACCTGCCGTGGACCACAAAGCGTGGAAGGCTCTTCCCCCAGACCTTGGATTGATGAGAAAAGAAAAATAGCTCAGAACAGTCTGGGTTATGTGAGGTGTGCAAAACTTATCAGGCCCAGAGAGGCAGGAGTATGGGGTTTCAGTCATGCCCCACTCCGGCCCCCACTCCTCTATCCCTCCACCCATGCCTGGGGGCAATTGTTTAAAGTCATTTTGTTCCTGACTAGCTGCCTCGCCCATTATCTTCATGTTGCCGGAATTTGTGATACAGAGAACAATGTGTAGCCAATCAATCACTTATGTTATTTTATTTGTTTGTTTGTTTGTTTGTTTGTTTTAGAGACAAGGTCTCACTCTGTTGCCCAGGCTGGAGTGCAGTGGTGCCAATCATAACTCACTATTGCCTAAAACTCCTGGACTCAAGCAATCCTCCCTCCTCAGCCTCCTGAGTAGCAGGGAATACAGGCACACACCACCACACCCGATGAATTTAAAAAATTTTTTGTAGAGAGGGGTCTTGCTATGTTGCTCAGGCTAGTCTGGAACTCCGGGCCTCAAACGATCCTCCTACCTCGGCCTCATAAAGTGCTGGGATCACAGGCGTGAGCCACCATGTCTGCCTGCTCATGTTACTTTAATGTAAATTATTGGTAGACAACTCAGGACTGCCTCTTCTTTTCCTTTAGAAATCCACTTATAACTGCTGCTAATTGGACTGTATATTCAGGGCAACTTGAATCTGTGCTCCCAGGTTGCAATCCTCAAGTTTGGCCCAAATAACCTCTCTACTTATATTGATTTGCCTCAGCTTCTACCTTTTAGGTCAACAATGGACAATTTCTCAAACTTCACATGTAAGCTCAGATGTCCCCTCTGAGAGAGGCCTTCTGTGACTCCCCTATCTAAAGCTTCCCCATTCCCTCCCACCACCCACTGCAGTCCCTCTCCACCAGATCACATCGTGACACTTATCGCCTATGGAAATTACTTGTTTACTGTCTGCCAGAAAGTCAGCTCCAGAAGAGCTAAGATGACATCTTTTTTGTTTACCTTTATACACCAGTGTCTCGACACTACTGGCAAAAGGAGGTCCTTAAATAGTTGTTGAATAAATGAATGAATGAATTGTGTATACCCTGATGGGTACTGACAATCATCATATTGAGAATAGAATTTGAAATACCTAGTTTTT